CATGACTTTGAATATTTCTTACCAATCCCTTCTAGGATGCAAAGTTTCTTTTGAGAAATCTGCTAGCAGTCTTATGGGAACTTCCCTGTAGGTAACTAACTTCTTTTCTCTTGCTGCTTTCAAGATTCTCTCTTTACCTTTAATCTTTCGCATTTTAATTATAATGTGTCTTGGAGTGGGCCTCTTTAAGACCATAGTTTTCATTAACTTGCCACATAAACAATGGATGTTGAACCTAAACAAATCAAATCTTTTTATAAGTATTTTAATTACATGTGTACTTCATATGCTCTTGCCATAAAAAAAGAAAAAGATTTTGTAAAGCACTTCCAAAGCTATTTCAAATTTTATTTTCTGATGGCTACTTTTCCTGTTTTCTTTTGAACATAGTGGACAGTCTCTGTACCTCTTAATCACTTTTCTTGACTTACTGCTGCTAAGGCTTCATTGCAGTGCTGCACAGTAATGACAACAGCAGGAATCCTTATTTTTAGCCCTAATTTTAATAAAATGTTTCCAGTAATTTATTATTTAGTTTAGTTTAATCAAGATAAGGGAGTTTTTTTCTAAACTATTTTGTAACTTTTATTAAAATATATGTTGCTCTTGTTAGCAGATTTTTTTAGAATATACCGAGTAATCACATATACTCTTTCTCCTTTAACCTGTCATTACATTAAATTATATTAATACATTTTATTTTTAAAAGTTACTTATTTATTTGTTTTTAGAGTGAGGAGAAGGGAGAAAGAAAGAGAGGGAGAGAAACACTGATGTGCAAGAGAAACATCGGTTGGTTGCCTCTCGCACACCCCCAGTTGGTGGGACCTGGCCTGCAACCCAGGCATGTGTCCTGACTGATAATACAACTGGTAACCTTTTGTTTTGCAGGATGATGCTCAACCCACTGGTCAGGGTCATCAATAAATTTTCTACAGTTGAATTTCTTTGCAGCTGATAAAAACTCACAGGTTTTATGTTATGCTCCTATTTTTTTTTATTATTAAAAGGTTCAAGGATATATGCTTTTATTTACTATTGTGATTATAAATGTCACAAATTTTCTCTGGATTTCAATCAGTTCTTATTTTGTATATTCTGAAGTTATACTATCATGTGCTCATGACTGATGTTTTAATAAGTTATATATTATCAGTGCCCATATTTGAGTGTTTTAAATATTTTTGTCTTGAAGTCTCTCTCTCTGTTTTTAAATTAGAAGTTCTTATTTTTTTCCTAGACTCTTCATTCATTTCCTACTTTTCTAAGGTACATCTCTTTTAATGATATATATTTTACTTAAATGACCAATCTGTAGATCTGTACTTTAAAGTGTGTAATGAAACCATTTACAGTTATTATGTTCACTAATATGTTTGGAGTTACTTTGTACATTTTAATACAATTCTTGCTGTCCTTCCTGCATTTTAAATCATTCTATTTTATAGTATTTTTTTACTCTAGTAGTTTGGGGATGACAAATCTTATTTCTGGACTGTGAGTAGATATTCTTAAAATTTTGGCAACTATATTAAAATACCATGTTTTTACTGCTATCTAGAATTAACCAGTAAGATTTAGTAATTTAATGTTACTGATCAATCATAATATTTTTAAATACATGTATTTTAAAAGTCCAAATTTCTATAATTTCTTTTGTTTTTAAAAGACCACATAGCTTCAGAGGTTTTCTTATTTATATCACATTGTCAAGTAGTTATATATTTTTATCCTGTGTTTTTTCTGGCTTATTTTCATTTGAACAGTTCTTTTCAAGATACAGGAAATTCAGCTGTTCCTGTATGTACTAATGCATTGTGTGTGTGTGAGTGTGTATGAGAATGAGAAAGAGAGAGAGAGAGAGACAGACAGACAGAAAGACATGATTAACCACCTTACATCCATCCGTCCTATCAAAATCCCTCACAAAGCACCCAGAGAATGCTTTTCTTTAGTAAACTTTAGAACCATAGGCACCTAGACCTGAAAAGAACCTTTGAGGTTATCACATTCAATCTTAATAAACCAATTCACTAATTCACTTAATAATCAATTCACTTTACAAATATTTTCAAGTACTTATGATTCCAGAAATGTAGTTGATGCCCAAAAGATAAAAATGAACAAATAATATATGCTTCCAACTGAGAAGCCTCACGTTCTGGTGGATGAGGACACAGAGACACTTGTACAGATGTTTGTGCAAGGAGGTTGGGGGACAGTCCAGGAGGAGGTGTTTTTGGGGCTCTTAGACTATTTGCTTTTCCTCAACCACTGCAGTAACTCCTGCTTGAGCACTAGCAGTACATGTTTGGACAGCAACATTCATTAGAATATGCATTCCTACTGAGCCCAAACCCTCCTTCCGAACTCTTCCATCACTGGTCCAGGTGTTACCCTCTAGAGCTCAACAATAGACATATATAATATGCGGACCTCCACTTAGCAGCTCTTTAAACGTTTGTTCTTCCAAAGTTTTTTTCCTTTGACAATTACACATTCTAAATTTTGTATATTCCTCCCTTTTCCTGATCTTTCTTATAATGACGCTCTCCAATGTATCAGTATGATCCTTAAACTGTTTTCCAAACCTGTTTAAAATACTGCAAATATACTCAACTTTTGAAAAAGTGCAAGGGGACTGTCATATCCTTTATCCAGTCAAAATATGCATGCTTATGCAGTCTATGATTGCATTTACATACTGTTGCTGCATCACATTCTCTCATTTAAATGATATGTTCATGCCCAGTATTTTTCCCAAACAAGATACCAAAGAGTGTTACATATTAAATAGCATTAGATAATTCCCCACTATTGGCATGCTATTAAATTATATGAAAGAAGAGAATAATAAAATCTGGTCTGTTAAGCAATTTTTAGCCATTGTTGAGTCAAGTATTAGAGACTGACACCAGCAGACTTCTTCTGCAAACAAATTAAATTGCCATGTTTTCTTTTTTCAAAATTGGACATAATAATTGAAAACAAGATAGGCACAGGATACTTTTGGATTTCATAAGTGGCCTTGCTACCATACACTGTAAATAACACCTGAGCAAGAATTGAACTAATTTCACTGATGGTGGAAAGCCCCAAAGGAGCTTAGAATCTTCTAGCAAGAAGCGCATTGCAACAAGTAGGAAGTGCGAACTGCTAAAAACAAAACTAGTATGGGGTAGATATAGTGTACATGGTGGTATGCTCCATGCTGAAAGTTTAGGATTGTCTTTTTTTTTTTTCAAAGCATTGCTCATGTTTCTATTGTTTTATGGCAAGATCCCGAACATTATATTTGCAGATTTTTATTAAAAACCAAAACTTCAATGTTCTAAATTGAAGACATCTACAGCAGTTAAGAAAAGAATCCACTAAGTAATGCTCCTTAAGTTCCCCAAATACAATCAAGGCTTGCTGCTGTGTCTCCGGATGAGCGGTCGAGGCTTCCTACCAATACTGTCGTATCAATTCTACTCCTTCATTTCCATTGTTATGTAACAGCCATAAAAATAAGTAATTTAAAATCAATTTTGGTAAAGAAATTATTGGTGAATTTCTAACAAAAAATTAGAATAATGATTCTTGAAGGTTATAGATTGAAAATTCACTTTATTAATATTCTAATAGTTTCTACTGACATTTTCAATATTTCAAATACCCTAATTCACAATGAGAATTTATCATTTGTGAGATTTTTAATAATGTTTACATTTGGGCAGAAATATGGCATTTTTGTAAGACAATACTTAGAAAATGCAGATTACCTTTGAATATTTAAAAAGAAATCACAGGTTGTAGCCAGCTCATAATTTTTAATGTAATGGATGTTAACATACTTTTTAAGATATGTTCCTGACTTCTAAAATACGGTAGTTGTAGCTTATACTCGTTTGAATGTATACTAATTTCCATTAAACCTACACATTTTAAGCACTGCCTTTTCAAAACTTTAAATTTCTACTATTATAGTAAATTTTTTATTATTCATTTTCAGTAGAACCTTTGTATAGAGTGTGGGGAGTATTAAATATGGGGGCTATGTTCAAGAGAAAACAGCAAAAATAGTCACCAGAAAAGTGAAATTTGAAATAGCTTTGAAAGTGCTTTACAAAATCCTTTTCTTTATTTGTGGGACAAACCTCGTGAGTGTACATGTAATTAAAATGTTTAGGAAAAAAGTTAGTTTGTTTAGGTTCAGCATGCATTGTTTATGCTGTAAGTTAATCAAAATTATGGTTTTAAAGAGCATGTGTCATTTTTTTTTATACAATAGATACTTCTAGTGTTTTGTTTCTTAACAGAACAAGATGGTGTGTACTTTCCTTTGGGAAGTCATGTTTTATAATATTGTAACATCTTATATAACAGTAATTTGAAAATATTTAAGTGATTTTAATAAAATAATCCTCACATAGTCAATATAGGTTTCTAATATAGATCATAGTCTTAATTTAAGATAATTGAGCCACTGAAAAGTTTTTACTGGGATGAATAGTAAAATTTCGCATGCATCTAAAACCACGTTTACTCCAAATTGCTTGTTTTTCACACTAAGTCATCTCCAAACCTACTTATGGAGTTAAGCCTCTTACAAAATGGAAGGGGAAATAAAACAGTTAAAATAAAATAAACAAGAATGTCATTTTCACTGCAGATTTCATACAAAAGGAACACAAGGCTACTGTTGACAGTGTCTTTTAAACAGCTGAATGCCATCTGCAAAGCTTGAAGATTTGAAAATATACATTTATACTAAATGTATTTATAAAAATCCATTCCGAGGTTTGTGAGAAATAAGTTCAATCTCTTTTCTTCCCCAAAGTATGCATGGTGTATATGCTAACACTGAATTCATCCTTCATGCAATTCCAGTTTATTAAAGAGGTTAAAAATTTATAAAACTCTGATGGGATATGGTTTTAATGCTTCATCACACTACCCATCATTTGCTTTTCAATCTAGATCACAATGATCTTTCCTACTTCCCTGCAATCACCTACCTGCACAGCTAATATTTTCTGAATGCTCTCCTGAGAGTCTGCCTGGAACTTGGCCAGCCTCATCCGGCTGTAGAGGACCACCAGTTTGAAGTACTGCTGCCACACCTTCTGTATCCTTCTCTGCAGCTGACAGAGCTAAAGGGAAGAGGGAGGGGGAAAAAAACACAAGTCAGAGTAGGAGAGGAAATTAATGGCAGTGTTCAAGAAGAATGATGGAGGGAAATATAGAAAGCAGTCAATAGCCCATTCCACACTGTACGGACCTGACAGGAATTTCACAGTCTCTTGATTTTTCAGTCCACTCATGTGCATTCGTCAGAAACCAGTCACATCTGGCCGCCAGGATGGGGGGTTAATTTTCTCTAAATGCCTCAGCAGTTTTGTTCTAGCTGAGGCACACTCTGTGACTGCAAAGCTGATGAGTAAAATATTTCTACTTCACCCAGTTTAACTCAAAACCGATAGCCTCGGGACATATTGAACCTTTCTTTTTTAAAAAAAAAAGTCTTTTGAAGCTGTTTTGAATGGCACATCAGGTCAAGCCAAAGTTTAAAAATGCAACTTTAAGACTTTGATGGACACCATTGCTTCTTTTTTTTTTTTCCTCATAAAGCTCACCATTGCTTGGCAATGTGTGCTTTAGAGCATGACAAAACTAAAGAGAATTAACTTAGCCATCAACTGCTGAGGGAGAACAATAACAGGGAAGAAATTTCCAGCTAGAACTCCCTATTAATCTACCTCCCTCCGACTATGTGACATGGAAACATCTCACTGCACCAAAGTACAGTGGATGCAACATTCTGCAGTGACAGGTTTAATACTGAATCTATAGAGAAAAAGAAGGACTTCTCCAATGGGACATTCCATACCTTTTGGAAGTTTAATATAAAACCAAGCAAACAAAAAACACAGTAGAAGTTTAATCAAGACCATGTACATTTGTCCTTCAACAATTAGCATAGTGACACCATACAGAAATGTTATAATTATGTTATTTTCAAAGAAATAAACCATAAAAATTAATGGTAAAATCTACATTTACATACAATATATTCTCCTCACTGAAACCTTGTTTAGATTTTGAAAGTGTGGATAATTACTTTTGTTGATTTCTTTAGTTTGTTTTGTATGATAATAAACACTCAAAATTTCATATAAAACATTTCTTCATAACAGAATAAAACATGTCACAAAATATAGTATTTTATTGATCTGGGTTCTGGTTACATGTAAAGGATCCTCTGTAAAAGAATATATACAGCAAATGCATATAACTTGTACACTTTTCTATATGCATATTTCAATAAAAGTTGACTTATAAACAACAATTTTTAAAAGTTACCTGGTATTACATGTGAATTCTTTATCATCATTGTTTTCATTTATACATTGTAATAAGCAACACATAGATATTATTGTGCTGAAAACACAATAGAAATTATGTGTTGAAAATAAAGCCTCTATTCTTGGTTAATTGGTTAACTTAGGAAGAAAATATAACCTTATAATCTATAGATAGTTCAGCTTGCTAATTCTGAAATGTAATACCTAGAATTAGTTTATGGGCATACAGATAACCTAGGCTATCAAATTAAAGAGTAACATCACTTCTGGGAGAGAAAATTTGGCAACATAATTTTATTTCTGTAATATTTTAATATATCAATAAAATATTTTAATATTTCTAATATAATATTAAAAGATTTTTCTGCCAACTCTCACAGCCAACAAGGGAAGGGTATGCTTTATCTTAACATACTCATTAAGACATGAGGACACTTTAGTCTATGTGTTATAGCATTATTATGGTATCTACAAATATGACAAAAGGCAAATAAGAGAGAGGTGAGTTTTAGAAGAATACACTAAAGTGAAGGTAATTTTTTTCAAGTAGGAGATGTTCAACATGTGGAAGGTATTACGAGGGGGAGCTCATCAATGAAAGTGAACTGAATGGTAATATTTCCCACATTCAGATCTTAAATGAGGAGAAGCAGCTCTATACAGTAAGTCTCATTTATGCGGTTTTCTGCATTGTAGCCCTGAGGAAGCCAAAAAGGCCTCAAATTAGTCTATATGCAAGTGTTATCTGCAGCTATTCAGGTGACAGATTTCTTTAAGTAGCAACTATGAAAGAGTAGTACCTCACAAAAAGAATTTTTAGGAAAATCTATAGCTAACTGGCCTCTGGAAAAAGAACAAGGAAAGGGGGAAAAAAAATGAAGGAATTCTCAAGGAGAAAAGGAACAGCATCCAGTATGTGTCACATATACACACATACATATGCACATTCAATACAAAAATGAGAAACAATAGTATACAGAAAAATATTTAAGATGCCAGAAAGGTGGTTGAGAAAGAGTTGGCCATGATGACAAACAACTACTTTAAGAAAGTACTTATGGTAAAAACCCAATAATAAGATGTCAGTAGACATTGATCACTCACTCAGTAAATATTTACTGAAATTAACTCAATAAAATGAACTCAGAAAATTTTAGTGGTAGAAATGAAGAAGTGAATAAGACTTTTAGAAACTAACTAATTAGTGGGAGAAGAGAAGAATAATCCAAGTAATGGAAAAACACAAAAATATATATTCATTAGGTGATGGCAGAAATTAAGTTGGAAAAACCAAAGGAATTGGAGTGTTTTTGATCTCTTCCATCTCAATTAGCCCAGTATTATTGGAATGAAACACTCCAATGATTGCATTCCTGAAATGTAGTCATTTGTTTTTAAAATGATTACATTCCTGCTCTCTGAAACAGAATTTAGAGAAGGTGAGGTGAAATGAGGGTGGAAGTGGTAGAAAAACAAAAAAGGGACAGTGAGAAACCCAAACACACTGGGTGGACTTGCCATGTACTTAGAAATAAGAACGGAATTTAGAGCCATTAACAGGTAAATTGGGCTGCTGCTCAGCCCCAAAGTAGGACTGCAAGAGCTTTGGGAGAGAATGGATATATTCTCATTGAACTAAGAAAGAGCATATTAGAACAGGAAAAGAGTCATTTTAGAAAAAGATCCTCGATTTTGTTTTATGAAAGAGAAAGTGAGAATATTCACCTTCATCAGGAAATCGGGAAACATCTCGTTTGTATTCAGGGCCATTTAAAATGGTAAAAAGGTGCCCAACTGAGCTATGGCTGCATAGCTCAGTTGGTTAGAGCATTGTCCCAATACACCAAGGTTGAGGCTTCGGTCTGTCGTCAGGGCACATACAAGAATCAACCAGGGTATAAGCGAACTAAATGATAATGGAAAAAAATATAATATAGATTAATTAAAAAATAAAAAATCTAAACAAAAAGAATCAATCAACCAATGCATAAATAGGTGGAACAACAAATCTCTCTCCAGCAATAAAAATAAAGAAAAATTTAAAAAAATAAAATGATGAAAAGGAACTGGAAGAATTTTCTGACAATGGTTTCTGGCCAGTTTGAATTTGTAGTAGACTTGTTAAGCCTGGCTTTAGTATTTGCTTTCTGAGTTGTTTGCTGGAAGAAGCCCAAGGATGGAATTCACTGATACTTTTTTTGAGACAATGATCACTATGCACCTATTCATGAAGAGAAAAATCAATCAATGTCCATTCTGACATGGTGTAGCAAGATATAGAGAATTGGTGAATTTGTGTTAATGTGAGCATTGCATACAATGTACCTTTGTGAACATTGTATACAATGACCATTTATATATTTGGTAAAAATGTTCCATAAATTTGATTAGGCTCTCATGACATTTGTTAATATTTTAAAGCTTAACTCTGTTTAACGGTAAAGCAGAGTAAATTAATGTTGTGACATTCAAGAACTGATTCTCCATTTCTTACTTTAATGCACTAAATTATATAGATTCTGATTTTAATCCAAGTTATTTTGTTTGCCTATTTAAATTCATGACGATTTTGAACTCCTGTGTATCACATAAACTTGGATTTAATACTAAATGTTATAATGCATATATTAAGACACACAAACCATCTAATTATATAAATTTAGGTTTATATTATTTTGTTGCTGTTATGCATATAAAAATTGAAAGACTAGAATAACACTAATTGATATTCCTATTAAGGTTTCAAACACATTAGGGTTTACCCATAAACAAATTAGCACCAAAATATTGCCTTACATCTTTTCCATGTTCTCAGTATTGAAAGTAGAAATTTCAAAGCATCACCTTTTTAGACATTTTCTAGGGCCTGGTTGGAGCATACCGTTTTCTGGTTCACATTATGAAAGACACAAGAATAAAGTAAAGCTTACTGTTTCTAGCCCAAAGAAGACAGACACATTGTAGAAGAATGGGGTGAAATAGAGTTGAAGTATATTTGTAATTTACTGTGTTTTAGAAAAAAAAAAGTGTTCATAGGTGTGATTTTAAAAATAGGCCCTCAAACCCTTTGATATTCCTTCCTTTAAGAAGTGCAGTAGAATTCCTGTACACTTAAGTAAGTGTGGGTTGGACTTGGTAACATTCATGTAAAGAACAGAACATAGCAGAAATGATAGAATGCCACTTTCAAAACATACACACACACACACATAATGGTGTCTTCTCTCCTGGGTTTTCTCGCTGTCTAATTCTTTCAGATCATTTGAGCTGAAAGAAGCCAGCTCCCACGTTGTGTGAACAGCTCTGTGGAAAAACCCACATTGTGATGAATTGAAGCATTTTTTGGCTAACAGCCACGTGAATCATCTTGAAAGCATATTCTCCAGCTTCTTCAACCATTCTGACCAACACTAAATTGCAACCGTGTGGGAGACCCCAAGCCAAAACCACCCAGCTAAGCAGTTCCCGATTCTTTACCCTGGGAAACTTTGTGAGAAAATAAATGTTTCTTGGTTTAAGCTGCTAAAATTTGGAACAACTTATTTTGCAAGAATATTTGGCAATAGATTCATGACTGTCTTCCTCTCTTCTTTCTTTGCCTAGCAAGGAAATAATTTACCCTCCATATCTCCTACTGGAAAGTAAAGGGCTCTCTTAACTTATGGTTTGTTTTAAAAAACTTAAAATGATTTATTTGTAATAAGACGATGACTAATAATTACTTGGATTAATGATTAAAATAATGAGCCTCTAGATTTGTTCCATCTAGGTATAGTAAATAAGACAGT